CCACCGTCGCCAGCTTTTCGTCTCTAAAGTGCCGTTCTTGCTCTCGTGTATATCACTGAGTCTAACCGTCACAACACATATTGCATGTTTGAACATAATGGTGCAACAGCGACTAACTCAGAACTTTGCATATGTCCTATTACTCGATACTTCCACATCCGAAGACATTCATATTAGCCAGATCGCCATTACTTTTGAGTCCACATGCGGAATCAAATGGCTTGAATTGACTCGGCGAATCCCGAAGAGGAGCTTCCAATTCACCAGATCGACATGGTTTCGATTCACGAAACTCGAATGCTTTGAATGCTCACCGCATCGCAAGAGACTCGCTCTCCGATCTCAGACACCGGATCACAATGCTTCGATTCTGCCCACGGATCGACATGCCCGCCCCCGTTAAACCCAGCCCGCACCCCCACCCATGTCCTTGAAATTGGGCTTAATCAGTCTTTACTCGAGGCTCATGTCCCGCGCCGCCGCGTATAAACGTCCACGCATATTGGAGGCACGCCAGTCGACGTACCCCTCTTCGAGCCCACGGCGAATCTTTCTTGCAAAGAATGGGAATTGCCATAGTCCCAGCTTCAGAGTTTGCCCAACGCGATTCTGACCCATTTCACGTATGGCTGGAATGAATAACGGGCCTAGGGTTTTGAATTTTAAAATTTTCCCTTATGCACCGCAACTTACGCTCCATGGTTTGCCGCAATTATAAATAGGGGCATATTAATTTAAACACCCCAGATACACAAACAGTCTGTCGGGCACACCGTGCCAGTCTAGGTTCAGCGTGCTCTACAAGATTCTCAAATCTGAGCCAAATGGCATGATCATTGTAAATGGCCACAACATCCTGCTATGATACATATTACTGATTTATCACTATTATTATATCACCCTTATATCTATTACGCATCCATAAGAATTTAGCTAGAAAAAAGCGGGCGTGTACCCTGGCCACCTACGCGCCACAAACTCTGTTGATCTCATTTGGTATTATAATATATTTATAACTTTATATATAATACATTTATTATTTTCAAGCCAAAAAATTACACATATAATTGTATCAGCCAGTAATAATGGGAGTCTCCCCCATCACACATCACCTCTTTATCCGTATCTATAATGTACGTCCATGTTGCTCCAAGTAAAAATGACTTCTCTCAACTCACCTGCCATTTGTGTCCTTTTTTACTGGTGAGCTACAGTGTCATTGACACTTTCATTTTTATCCTACAGCACTCGACGCCGACAGTTCCACGGCTCCAGTGGATGCGGCCAGGCAAAAGCAGGTGGAGAAATGCAGTGCACTCCTCCGAAATGCGTGAAGCCTGACGTTGCCATGACGCCCTCGGAAGTCTGTGCGGTTTGAAGGGTGCCGGCGTCCGAAGCACGTGGACGACGTGAGGGTAGCTGGTGTGCCTCGAGGCTGCCTGTCTAGCGGTGGCATTCGCCGCGATGTCGAGAAACCTGACGTCTACGAGTAAGGCAACTCTCAACTTGGATGGCATGCGTCATAGACACTCATTGACCTGTTCGCTTTCGCAAGATGAACGACACGGCGTTTGCCCAACAATCTGTAGACATACGTCCTAAGTAATAAAAAATTGCTGGTGAGTTCGACATTTTCATGGCGGTGGCACGTATAGAAACCATTACAAACTTGTGAGCCTTACGACCAAACCTAGAAGAATAAAGGTCAAGGATGGCGCAGTCTATGCGCACTCAGACAATACCTGTATAGTGACATATTTTCACGTACAGAATATTTCGCGAATTGACGGACAATTTCGATACCGAAACTTGACCGGATCAATTCGCGGTTGGTGAATTATAGAATTATTCAGTATTATTCGCTATGAATTATTTACCGTGTTATTTTCCGCGGTCCGGGGACCGCGTTCGCCGGAATTCTGCGGAAAAACAATAAACCACTCCGCGAAATATACAGCGTATACGGTAGGTAAAATGTGGTGGCCTGCAGACTGTGAAGCCAACAATCAATGTGTGAATTTCGCTTTCCTCATCCCCATCCGACAACCTTTTGGTAGTTTGTATAATTCTAAACTGTCGATGCTCATCGCCAATCCGGAAATGGTATTATGTGATAATATATTCCAGTTACACTGTACATGATGTTATAATTAATTTATAATCACTCATAAATAGTTTTGTAGAGAAATTGTAAGCAGCGTACGACCCGTGTTCTTGTTTCCCCGACGAAGATGGTAGTCAATTTGGCAGCTGTTTTTTTCCTATTGCATTGAGTCTGATTTTATATTTCAGATTGCAAGACCAGCATAGCTATGCCTACAATGAGAAGATAGGCAAGCCAATAGTACTGCTGCATATGAAACAGTGTTCGGCTTAGAATGTGTGATCCCATACCATATACCCGAGTTGAATTACCCATACCTTATTAGCCATGTAACATTAAGAGGCGTGAAACCTGAAAAGCAAGTTACTTATATGTTAACTATGAAGGTAATTCTACTTAGTAAATAAGTCTAACGATCAACAGGCCTCTAATAAGTCTAATAAGTCTAATAAGTCTAATAAGTCTAATAAGTCTACTAGTAATAAGTTAATGGTAGTCTAAGGTAATAATAATAATAATAATAACAATAATAATTATTATTATTAATTTTTATTATCATTATTATTATTCTGTTATTATTACGCATATGTCAGGCATTGTGAAACTCTTGTCGGGTGTACATAAGCTAGTAAGGGCCATGGCACGATCTGCTCTAGGTGCCATACCGACTGCATGCGGTGTTGGTGCATGAGGGGCAGGCGTCTGCCGGACACTACTGGGCATACATCTACGACTCTGCACACAATCACTGGCTGAAGTTCAATGACATCACCGTGTCAGAGGCATCGTGGGAGGAGCTGGAGAAGGAATCCGTCGGTGGATACTATAACACGAGTGCTTACTGCCTGATGTACGTGAATGCCAAGCAAACATCGCTGATGGAAGGTAATGCAGTATTTCTCACTTGTGCTGACTAGTCATGTGTGATATGTAGATTGATAGTATCGTTTATTTGCCACAAAAGCATTTACATCATTACAGGACTCACTCAAGCACTCTATTCATATGTCTTTAAATGTCCCAAAGTCATAGAATTTGTGAGGCAGTTCTTGTTTTAGGCTGAAACAGTATTCAGCTGCTATGCATGTCATGATATAATTTAATGATGAAATGTAAAACATTCTTGTTGTGTAAAGTTAACAGATAGAAGAGTTTGCATATGAACTTTTCTAATGCACAATCCATCTAAACATGATTCCAATTAAATTGCAAATTAAATTGGAAACAGTTAAAACATTCCACTTGACCATTTGTAGGATTAGTAATGAAAACCATATGAAATTGTCTCTGCAGACATAGTAGACCAAGAGACGGGTCAATGCAGTACCAATCCTCTAGACCTGCTGCCAACTGACCTCCATGACATCGTTTGTGAGGATAATATGAAGTTTGCCAAAGAAATAATGGAGTATGATAAGGAGCAAACAAAAGCTGCAACTGAGATGGAGGAATGCGTCGTAACGGGGCAGTTTGAGCATGGAGACAATTACCAAAGGCAGATGAAAGGTAGAACTTGTCATGATGTTACACTACACCATTGTTATGTTACAATAAATCAATATCAACAGCTGCAATGAAATTCTAACTTATGCTTTGCTTTGTTTAAAAAATATTGCCCAGCATGTGCACAGATAAAACTTCACAGTCGGTCGATCACTAATGTACGACACATGAATCTGGCTATCTATATTGCCGTGCGTAGCGGCCATACCTTGTGTAGCAACCATTGCTGTTATGTGCCATTAACTCTTCCCACTCGCTTGGGCCATAATAACAATTTTGTTTGTTTGCCCTCACCGGACCAACCTGCTAAAAAGGGGCCGACTGAAAAACATTTATTGATCTTTCCCATTCTTTTTTTTTACAAATTGTATCACTGTACATTATATCAGGAGCTAATAATACCTAGCGTGTGCAACGGGAAAACGGGAAAATAGTGCTATTTCACGGCAATATTATTCTACTTTGTCTGCGAATCCAGATGAGACGGGATACCAGAGAAGTGTTGCCGAAAGGAGTCTTGAATTTTAGCGGGGTCACGGAGGACAGAGATTTGGGACGTGGGAGGAACTCGTGACTTAGATGGGGGGTCGTACAGATGGGGGGCGAGAGCGAAGCTTTTGATTTTGCGGTGGTTCCATTTCCGTGTGGTCTTAGGCGTTTTCACTATAAGTTAAAAAGCGCCCCATGACGCCTGTCCTATGTAACGCTTGATATGTGAACATCAGAGAGATCGCACCATAATTGCATGAAGAAATGGATGAGGATGTTGTACGAGAGAGTATGCGCATTATGTGGCTATTCGTAACATCAAACTGATTCCTCTGCGTATTGCTCTGCTCAGTGCTGCTACAGAACGTCATGACAGCAGTACCTAGCGCAGTAGCAGCGTAGTTAGACTTATATTGCTGAACGGCGCATATATGACTGCCGGAGAATGTATAACTGTTGTGTATAAAAGTTGCAAAGATATTAAAAATCCGACCGTTATTTCATGAAATTTTTTATAAAATAGTGATACGAAATAGTACGCGGATTGTGCGCCCATTTACCTCTTTCAAATCATAGGCTGTTTACGAATCTCCATTCGCTGGATTTCCCCCGAGCTCCGCCCACTTTAAAAATAGTGCTAGCATTGTGGCAGTGGTATCCTGGACCCGGTTCCACAGTCGTGGATTAACTTTAACCCTGAGTTAAGACTAACTCTGAGTTAAACTCACTAACTCTGAGTTAGTAAACTCCGAGTTAAATTTGGGTTTCATAAACATGGATTAAATCCTGAGTTAAATAACTGAGAGTTAACTCAGAGCAAGACTCAGAGTAAGTATCCCATAATTCCACATAGTTAGAACAGACGAACATGATAGACGCATAGACGATAGACGCATGATAGACGCACGAACATGGTAGAAGGTGTAATGAAAAAACGTTATAATGAAAACCGGCAGCGATAAATAAATTAGGGAAAATATTTTGCCAATGCGGGGATTGAACCAGCAACCTTCGCGCCAGTAGCACGGCGCTTTAACAACTGCGGCTATTGCGACATCGCTAAATATCGTAAATTTTCCCATATTATCACTGTACGGATGCCTGGATCAGCGTTGGTACGCCATCAATGGCCGACCAATGTACACCAAACGTAAACAAACACCTATGTTCGAGCGGCAGCAGGGGATCGGACACGGGGCAGTACTAGATAAACTAATTAGCTCTAGTACTAGTACCCTAGAGCTAAACTAACCTCGTAGAAACTACGAGAGTGTACGAACGGGCGCTGGATGAAGTTTGGGGGGTTATAGCTAGACTGGTACCCGTTCGCCACCTTCACTCCGGCAAGTATGATCCTTCGCTACACTGAAGTTAGTTAGTGTAGCGTGTGGAACTGTCGACCGGGGAGTAGTGTAGGTTATAGCCGGCCGAGCCGTCTGCAGAAAAGTCGTAGCGAAACGCTATGCATATAGCCTCGTTGCGCCATCTATCGCAGGCCATATGTACTACACTGTCACTGATATGGGGGCCTGAACTAGTCGCTGGCACAAAAAAGTCCAACTCCGTTTTTTACAGCAAACCAAGTGCGCCAAGTAGCAACCGAATAGCGAACCAAGAATTACGACCATTTCTAGGAAATCTCTAGCTACGTGGGTAGTCAAACCCGTCGTGCAATCGCCAGAACTGCTCAATTCAGCGATAGCCCCACAATTGCGTCTATAGTGGACCCGTTGAAATTGCTATTCAATGAGTGCAGCGTTGTTGTGTTAGTGTGCCGCTACGCGGCGTTTTTCGCGCTTCGCGCGATATCCGGGCTGCCGATCGTCCAGACTAAGTTTATGGTATTGCGTTAAGCCCATTATCTTTCCTAGCACGGCTAATGCCCGTAATGATGGAGCCGGCAATGTTTTCTAAATTAATTCTCTACAACGCAGCTCAGCTACTATGGTGTAGTAAGAGTACCAAATTTGGGCATGTGACATCAATTATCAGCGCTCCAAGCGGCGACGGAAAGATAGCCAAAATCATTAAGCGCGCAAAGGTGCGGGAATATGTGGTATCGAGGCGTCATGAGGCCAGTGTGGGTGATTACGATCCAATATCTCGGCTTAGGAGTATCGTAGAGACAAGCGGTTGGTCTTGTTTTAGAGAGCAAAGAATGCTGCTTAACGCAATACCATGAACTTGCAGATAAAGTAGAATAATATTGCCGTGAAATAGCACTATTTTCCCATTTTCCCGTTGTACACTCTAGGTATTATTAGCTCTTGCTTATATAAATCTGTAGGCAATACATTGTATGTACCACGCAAAACAAACATTCAACATAAAAGGTATCTCCACACAAGCACACCCGAGCATGTAGACACCATGTTGAATTTGTAAAAACACCCCCTAAAAAAAAGCCTACCTACCTACCCAAACTTTTCAGCCTGGGGTCAGGTGAGGACAAACAAAGATTTTTTTAATTGTGGCCTTACATCTGCAGCCAGAACGTCTGCGACACAGACACCGGCAGTACCGATTTCCAAGGTCAACCTGGCCGTAGAGCACAGCCCGGCAGTGCCGATGGCCAAGGTCAACTTATCGATGGAGCATGCTCAGCTGTCTGTTGTTGATACCCGCCTCATAATTGGAAAAGTTCTGAAGACCCATGGCAACGTGAACAATCTGCAGGGAGGAATAGAGACAGCTGTTAGTGAGGTGAGCTACATTCCACCGCTTGAGTAAGCAGGTTGCGACTGCACATTGGCACGTCTGGCGGAGCTAGAAGCATTTCACTTGGGCAGGGAAGACATAGTGTCATGAATCTATGTGTAGAAATTGCTACACCTTCAGTACATGATGTTTCATGATCTTGTGTACACATGTATGCACTAGGGTTCACATACATTTTGAACTGTGATGTTGATATGTGATACTGATGTTCTGCATGGTAGGCAGCAGAGATAGAAGCCAGAAGACTTGCCCAGCTCTCTAAGCAAAAGAACACACCGACTGACCACAGGTAGACATTGTCCTACCAATGAATATCATCACATATTCTAACTATGTGTTCACCTACTAGTCGTATGTGGTGTAGTGATAGGTAATCGTAGTTAATGTCAACACTCCAATAAAGTTTGTAACTTTCTGAAACTGTTCTAATTTAGGAATACATATCTATGTATTGTCATTATCTTTAGTGATGGAAATGGTGGTGAACAAAACAAGCAAGATCAGTAAGAATTTGAAAGACACTATACTTAGGTCCCCCTCTCCCTCTACTCCCCTCCCTGTTGGCCCTCTTCCTCTCCCTGTCCCCCTTCTCTCCCTCATTCACCTTAAAAACGATCATTTCTCCAATAAATCAAAAAATGAATAAATTTTGACAAATTTAGTCTCACCTGTCAGCATACATGTTACTGATTACTTCAGCATAAAAATTATTAATTATTACGTGTTTCTGCTATTATAGGCTATAAAACAGTAAATGAACAGCAAACGTACGCCTGCTATCTTGAAATTTGCAGTAATGGAATTTTCAACCACTCCCACAAAACTAGTGCACATAGTTACACGATGCAAATATTTATGGGGTGGTACCTATCTCGAAATGCATACAAAGGTAATTAATGTAGTGTAGAGACAAGGTTCCGGTCTCGTGAGAGCAAAAATCACGTGCTAGGTTTGTTGACATATGTAAACAAATCTAATTTGAAATGCAAGTCAGTGCACATGTTGGTAAAAAGAATATTGTGTGAGTGTTCTATGACATGTTAGCCTTACTATATATACATTTGCTGTTATGCAATGTGTACCGGTAAGTATCAGAGCATTAAAGAAAATATGAAAATGGTTGGTAAAAACATTAAAAATCGTCGCGTAAGCCCCATGTTTTCTTCTTTGTCACCCTTCCTCACCCTTTCTCTATCTTGCCCTCTCTCGTCCAGTCCCCCTTTCGGGATCGCCTTTTTTAAGTGCATTACTTATGCTGGCTTGTTGTTGCAGGCTAAGTCACATCATGGTCTACCTCTATCAAAACCAGATGGAGAAACAGAATGTTGTGCGCAGGATCATGCTGGAACAGTTCACTCCCAAAGTTCTCAACAATGACCCAAGGTTGGTTTCTGCAATCGGCAGATACAAACCTGCAGTCTACAGCAGAAAGAAAAATTCATAATATCCTATATATTTGTGTGTGTGCATGTGCGTGTGCATGTGCGTGTGCGTGTGAGTGTGTGTGTGCATGTGCGTGTGCATGTGCGTGTGCGTGTGAGTGTATTGTGTGTATATAGCAAATATTTAACAAAAAAGAAGGTTATACGGTTTGAATGAACGTGTTATTTAATAAATTCGTAGGTCACTAGGCTCTTATTCCTATGAATTTATTAATTAAAGTTTTATCCACAAGTCATCCACTAGATTTATAAACTATGTACAAAATTCCATGTGAAATTGAATAATTCTTTGGCTTCATACATGTTTTCAATTTGTATGTTATTAATCTGCTATGTTGGCCTTGCTAAGAGTGTGTTGTCAGCATTGTGTGTGAATAAGAAGAGGTGTAGAATGTTGTCGTGTATTAAGTAAACGTATATTTACGGTAACTGCAGCACAGCAGAGTTCAGACGGACAGCTCTGCATATGCTAGAGGGGATGGTGCTGGCAGAGTCGGAGCGCAGGTTGTATCAGGAGGTGCATGAGGATTATGAGATGTTCAGGAAGACTGTCACATGCTTCATGCACGGCGTCCACCTGTTCCACAAGCAGTCGTAAGTGACATAGCGAACCAGATGACCCATATATTTAATTTGTCATTATTAGCTCCTGATATATATATATATATATTGTACAGGGTAGCCCCATTATAACGTGATGGGTGGGGTCCATAAAATGTCATCGCGAAAAAAGCAGGGTCGCACTATATCGAGGTTGGATTATATATACATGGCTATAAGAGCAAAAAAGGGGGTCCAACGACTCATCGCGTTATATCCGAATTCACGTTAAATCGGGGTTCCACTATATATATTGTATGTGTGCTTACATTTTTAGCTCCTATTTAAAATACAAGAGATGAGTAGTTCCATTTGCACATGCATATGTTATATATACATGTACAGTACACCCTGGACAATGAACCAGCAAGGGGGTTGGGGTGTCCAGTAATGCCGATAGTCCATTATTTCTAAATATGGTCTCTTGTGGCTTTTTTTCCGAAATGTTGTCTGTTTTTCCCCAGTTATTTCCAGTGCAGACCGATAAATCTGCAGCAGCAGATATTTTTGTCCGTTGCTTCCGATGTCTGCTAAATTGGGGTCTGTTAAATCGAGGATGTATCGTATATAATAATAAATAATAATAATAATAATAACAAGGATAATAATAAAGTTAATGTCTGGTTGCGATGGAAGCATGATGGCATTTTGAGGACAATGAAGGTGTGAATTTACGGACAATGGCTTGTGTTCATATTGATAGACTCTCAGCCGGCATTATACTTATCAATATGTTTCAGATATCAAGAGAGTCTGGCCTATCTGGTGCATGCTTGCAATCTGAACCAGAGTTTGATTAAGAAGGGTGCACAGAGAGGCATGGAGCCACGACTAACTGGTTTCTACAGACGTCAATGTGCACTGGTAAGTCAGGGCGCGAAATTAGCACCGGCCCACCGGCATATGCTGGCAAATTATTTGGAGGGCGTGTAACATTCCCAAAACACCGGCCCTCAGAGCCGGTGGTTTCAGCCATGTTAGCGAGAACCAACATTTTTAGCTCATCTGACGAAGTCAGATGCAGCTTGTAGAATCGCATGAGCGTCCGTCCGTGATTCGTGTGTCCGTCAACAGTTGGGCACATATCTTAACAGCTCGACGTACGGTCACGATATTCGGGACGTCGGGGGGGGGGGATCGTGAAAAGGACTCGGGATAACCAATTTGGGGGTCAAAGGTCAAAGGTCAAGATGTGTCAACGGAGGGGGAATATTTCCCCCTTAAACTAAGGTATAGGAGGAAATACGGAATTGCGGCACAAATCTGAACGGCTCGACCTATGCTCTTAATATTCGGTGTATAGTGTGATGGGCAGGAAACCCATCACCAGTGCGAAATTGGAGGTCACAGGTTAAAGGGCAGTGGGGGAAAGGTCAGATATCAGACATTTTTTGAGGACCTGGCCTTATGAACAGAGTGAAAAACCTTTTTGTTTCAGTGCTGACCTACCATTTTTATCACTTTATTGAAAGGACCATGAAATGTGCTTTCCACTGACGTGCGAAGAGTAAGTGTCGGATAACCTTTCCACCTTCAAGAGGAGGGTTAAACATGGATTTGTTGACTGTTAACAAAGGACTGAACTGTGTTTGATAGTACTTGTGTGATCGTGGAAGACTTAAATTTCACTTAAATCATATATGAACTTCATTCTCTATATGAGATTCTGTTCGTTGGGAATACAATGTCAATAGCACTTATGCAAACGTCTGTTTTTGATTAAGGCCAACTATAAATAGGCCTACCTCGCAGGTGGGTGGCTGATAGTATCACAGCATGGGCTAAACGAAGGTAGCAACTAGTTCGGATTATCTATTCCCTGCACCTATAGTCAGTATGCACGCCATCTATCGGAACAGAGTGAGAAGAATGTCCCGGCAGGATAGGTCAAATGTATATTGCGCTCAAAAGTGCAGAAATAATTGCTTTCTTAACTTCAGTTTAACCAATCTTGAGATAAATAATTGCAGAAATGAATCGTCAAACCTACCAATGAAAATTTGCCAGTTTTGTACTGTCCTTGGCAAGGCTCTCTCCGTCGACGTTACATTAGTGTCACTAGTGTGCAATGTTGGGATAAGGTGGAGCATGCTGGCTTGTGGACGCTGCAGATCCCGATGGTTGACTGTCAGTCGAAATGTGTTGATCCTCCCCAACATATCTTCCCCAAGAAGAAATCTGTACGTTATACGTGCGTCTGCCTTACTTCTGCTCACCATCTTTGTCGAAAGTTTGGACGCCGCGCGGCGAAATCGGAATGTACATTGCAATCGATGACGTAACTGATACAGTAGCGCGTCGCGTGGGTGTTATTTGTTTATAAACAATTTAATCTGACTCACTCTCTCCCTCTCTCTCCTCTCGCCCGCTCTCTCTTTCTCTCTCTCGGCCCCTCTCTTCCTCTCTCTCGCTCTCTCTCTGCAATAAAAAAAAAGTTTGCTGAAATGATGTGTACGCAACTGCGTATCTGTATATCTGCGCCTAACAAAGGTGTCACTGCGCACGACTGAAATGTTACGTTTATGACCGTAGCAACACACCTCAGATGAGCCCAGACGTTCTGCGGCTCTTGTTATTTATAGCATTAATGAGCAAATCGCATACAATACTGTTTTACCTGAAGGATATCACGCCATAATTTATCAACATTTTACAAATTTGAAATCAAGAATGCAAGTGTGAAACATGACATTGTCATTGACAAAAAAACTTTCGGACAAGCAAGAGTCAATAAAACAGTCTTATCTTTATTTTTGAGAAAACAAATGTTGTGAGGGATGGTAAATTATGGTGAGGGCTGGTAAAAAAACTGCTGTTACCGGCCCTCTGGGCCAGTGCAGAAAAATCTGAATTTCATGCCCTGTAATTACTCACATATAAAGTGGCACGCACACACTCAGTTATATTAAAGCTGCTTTAACAAAAGTACGTTTAGATCAGCAGGGCTGTACCGAAACAGAGTAGCATGGTTGTTCTTTACAGGCAGTTTCTCTAGGCTCACACGGATTCATTGAGCATCTATGTAGCAAAACAAAATGGCTTATATATGGTTATTGCACTTGACCATCATACGCTTAATCTACATGAAACTACAAGTAAATAAATATCCATCTGCCTTAGCCGTGAAGGTAACACAGCTAATCGGCAGGTTACCATCTGCATATCCATTCAATGTGTATTTCATAGCGTGACCATCAATAAGCAGTTGAGCATGCCCAGTCACACTCACGCTACCAAATATAGTAGATCCCCATAGAACACAATAAAATTCCAGGGTAGGTGAATTTCTCGGTGACACTCACGCTACCAAATATCCCATACAGTAGAGTCCGCGGCATAAGAAACAATAAAATTCTAAGCGTAGGTGAATTTCTCGGTGACACTCACGCTACCAAATACAAGTAGATCCCCATAGAACACAATATAATTCTAGCGTAGGTGAATTACTCGGTGACACTCATGCTACCAAATACAAGTAGATCCTCATAGAACACAATAAAGTTCTAGTGTAGGTGTATTACTCAGTGACACTCACGCTATCAAATATAGTAGATCCTCATAGAACACAATAAAATTCTAGGGTAGGTGAATTTCTCGGTGACACTCACGCTACCAAATACAACTAGATCCACATAGAACACAATATAATTCTGTTCCGTGTGGCCATCCAAAGGCAATTCATTTGTAAGATCAGTGAATGGAACTTGTCTACCTGCTATTCTTAGGGTACCCACAACTAATTCGAACTCCCCTCCCTCTCTCCCTCCCCCTTTTTCTCCTCCTCTCTGGTCTTTCTTGCTCGCTCTTCTGTCTTTCACTCTTTCTCTCGTCTCTCTCTTCTCTCTCTGCTCTGCTGCTCTCTCTCTCTCCTCCCCATCTCTTGCTCTTGCTCCTCTCTCTGCTTTCCCTCCATCCCGCCGTTCTTCCCTCCCATAGTTCTATGCTCTTCGTACTCAATCTATTTCTAGATTTC